TACTAGGTTGCTTAGGGATACCAAAAGTGGTGTGAATACTCAAGGAAATCTCGACAAGTTCAGGAGTGGTGCGAATACTCAACTGGTCTAGGATAACTGGAGATTATTCGCTAACCAGGGATACCAAGTGTGGTGAAAATACTTCATAACCAGGAGTGGGTGATACTCAACTAGACGATGTATCATAATGATACTAGAAGCGTCTAGGGATACCAAGAGTGGTGAATAATACTACGCAATCAGGAGTGAGTTGAACTCAACTAGTCAAAAGTAACAATGGCTACTCAATAGGACTAGGAATACCAGGAGTGGTTTAAAACACTCAATTGTACTTCATTGAATATCTAATAGAACCCTATAAGTTAACTTAGATGAGAACTGGACTAGCCTTAATAGGTGAACCAGTATAAAACATTTTGTGTGTTTTAATCTATTGATAAACGATGTAGTGTAGTTAGAGTTTTCATTCTCTCTCTCTGATCATACGCCTTACTTTGTTTAAAGTTACTGCCTACACGTATAAACATTGGACACGTTGAGTTGGTCATGTACATGATCATTCAGGATAAGCGTTTACAAACTAAAGTCTAACAACTCACAAAGTGTTACGTACATCATGATCAACTTAAAAGTTACGAAAAAGTTATGGAAACTCTATTCAACCCCCTCTTCTAGTGTTTTCCCGCACCTTCAATATTAATTTGATCGTGTCAATGACAATGTTATCACTTAATTAATGTAGTTACTTGTTGTTTTCAAGAGTGTGTTTAGTGTGATTTCTTTTAACATGTGGTTTGAAACAAGATTTGTTCTTTTAGTGTGTTTACCAAACTCATCATTTTGTGACGAGAGTTCATCTAGCTCGTGTAAACAATTTAGATTTTTCTAACAAACGCATTTAGCACGATGTTTATGTTCCTTTGTTTTAACTATTTGGAAATTTAAGATTATACTTAAAACTACTTCATTTAATATTGTTTGTTAAATTTCAAAAACCAAAAATATTATAAACGTAGTGTCTTAACATATTTGCAGGTTTAATTATTATGTTTTCTTTTAAATTAGCTCACCTTTAACATATATTTACTTTTTAAAATAATATTAAAATCATCTAAAAATTCACTCTAGATTTATTATTTATTAAATTTATTTTATCAAAATATTATCGAAGCACTTATAAGTTTGTAATCCCACATTCCTAGGATACACACTTTGACCTAAAAATAATATTAATTTAAAGTTTACTTTTTAAAATTAGTTTTCAAACTGATAACAATTCAATATTTTTGCAAAAACGAACTAAATTTTAATTATATTGTCATTAAACCAGATTTAATTTATAATATTGGTGAGAGCATCTATAGAAATGACACGAACACCAATTTCTCCTAAAAAAACGAACACTGACAAGAACTAAAAAGGTGAAATGGGGGTAACAAAAAGAAATAAGAAGCATTTAGTGTGATTGAAAATATGGTAACACAATAAATAGTTTTGCATCCATGGACAGTTTTTGCCTTATTGAGAACCATGGATACAGAGTTGAAAAAGAACTGTGTGTGCCTCTCTTTGACAAATAATCAATAATATGAGGGATGTAAATTAATATTTCAAAATTTTAACATAATTCTAAAATTTCTTTACAATTTAAAGAATGGTTAAAAGATTTTTACTTTTTCATTCAAATGTCTAGGTAACTAAACGACAAGAAAGTGGTTGAAAATTTGCACTTCCACGCATTGAAAATTCAAGATATTCTTCTAATCACACTTTGCAAATAAAAAATGAAAATTATACACCAACGCTCATTTTGTTAGACGTGGAAAATATTTTTTTAATAATTTTTTTTACAACACTCGTGTAGTGGTTTGTGATTGATCCATTTTAATTTAAAAAAAAATAAATTTAAACAGATTAATAAAATATTGATATGTGATCTATTGTCAAAATTGTTATAAAAAGTTTTCATTCAACCTACCAGGTTAAATATATAGGTAAAAGAAGGAATCATTATATTTTCTTTGAATTCGGGTTTATTTAAAATCTCATAGAAGGAATCATTATAGTTTCTTTGAATTTTTGAAAAAGTAAGAATATAATTAGTAAAATAATAATTCAAATATTTTTCAACACATATAAATAGAAAGACAATTAAAAAAAGGAGAAGATGGAGTATATAATTAAAATTTTACATTTTCTTATTTATCCATTTCATCTTCATTTAAAAAAAAAATCAAATGCAAAGGTGTTTTCTAAAAATGAATTTCTTTACCTACAAACATGTCCAAAAATAATTATTAGGGTACTTTAAATAATGATCAAGTATTGTTTGTATCAAAGGTAGAAGATAAGAGAAAGCGACATAATTTGAAGCGAGAAACACGTTTAATATGAATTATTTTTAAAAAGTGGTGTAAAAAGAAAAAAGAAATAGTTGTTTACTTATTCTTCTACCTTCTTTTGGTTACCTATTATTGCATTAATTTACCTATTTCAATCTATAGCATTTGTTTTTCGTAACAGAATCCAAAGCATTTATTATATTTATAGCATGGTGACGCATATACGACCGTTAAAATTCAATTATTCAAAGCTCTAAAACACTTTATCTTATTTAAGGGCGTGGAGTACGCTAACCCTAGCTTATCAATGTTCCATAAAATATCCTTTGCGAACAATGAACAAACATTTCATCACTAATTAACAATGCAGTTCAAATGTTTGATTTAATGTCTGAATGAATTTTTAGTTGATAAATTTCTTCGTGTATAGTCGTATATGTTTACATGTAAAAGATAAATTGAAATACGTGTTTTGATTTATTTAGTTGATTTATTTAAAGAAAGTTGGAATCTACCAAAGATAGTCAACTCTCTTATTTTTTCAAAGTAAACAAGTAAAATGTTTTATAATATGATAGATGAGAATTTTTTTTATTAAATGCATTAAATGAAAATAGTGTTATGTAATTATTTTCTATTCATGTATACAATTAAGAGTTCAGTGATTAAAAACCTAACAGATGAAAAACAATAAAACTTACTCTACTAGATATATGAAAGTTATACTAGAGTTTCAATTCCTATTTCTATGTAAAAACGTTGAATGCAGACTTAGCTTGATTTAAACAACAATTGGGTCCAACTAGTAATAATTTAAAAAAAAAGAAAAGAATATACATATAATAGAATTATGATAGTGAAACTTGATGATTAAATAAAAACAAGTTGATAATAAAAAAGGGACTTGTTAATTTAGATTATTAATTTTGTTCATTATTATTTTACAAATGGATAATGAATGTCTTTGTTGATTTTTTTAGTGTTATTTCTCTAATGTTATCTGTCTACTATATCTTTAAAATACACTAATTCCGATATACTAATGTTTTTAATATAGTTTAAAATATTAAAATCAGTATAGGTCAATATATTTTAATAATACAATAGATAAACAACACAAAAAAAATTATCATTTATACAAGGTAATGTAAATTAGTCTTACGGAATATTATTACTTTAAATACAAAAATAGGAAAAGAGGTAATAAATATTTATTAAACATTTCAATAAATACTTCAATGACATTAAATTGTATACTTTTTATTATCATTTCTTAATTCTTTAATCATTATCATAAATATAATTATTGGCAAAATTGATACAAAATTTTTACATTAAAAATATTACGACAAATTTTAATATTACAAGAAAACCTCCTCCTCTTTGAACCCTAATTTGGAGTTGGTAGAACATAACTGTTTCTAAGTTATCTTTAAACCAGAAATCGTGGTTTACAATAAATTTTATCTTTGACAATAATTACCTCATAAGTTATACAATGAAAAATTATTTTTCAAATTATATTTAATTTGAAAATATTACTTTTTCATAAAAAAAATTCCCCAACTTTAAACCCTTAGAACCGTGGAAGTGGAAGACAACATAAATTATGATAAATTTGTTAACTTCTATATTAAAGGGTCATTTTTTATTTTGAAAATTTTAATTAATTTCAGAAAAACTCTTTCATGAAACCTTCGGATAACATCTTCACTGTTTACATATTTTCCAATTACATATAAGATTAATTAGTGGGTTTTAGTTAATAACTTTTATAATATTTATTTTAAAAGTCATTTTGTTTGGTAAAACATGTAATTTTTTTATACTAAAAGTGAATACCTATTCAACTCTAACTGTAATAAGACTTAAGACATGGTTATACGAAAATATGTTGGTCACTTCAAGGGCGTGAAAGAGATTTAATCTAATTTAATTTAATCAAACCATAACAAAAATTAAAGTGTAGTTATTATAAAATTTGAAGAATTACTTTCAAAGTCAAATCTATTTACAAAACAATCTTTTTTCACAAAAACCATTTAAAAATAGAATTTGTCTAAAATGTAATCTAACTCGGAAAAAAAATACAAAAACTGATTCGGTTTCCCAATTGAATGCATTGAATTGGGGTTTAAAATTAGATTTAGACATTATCCGAAACATTCAGAAACTCTACAGAACAGATTGAATTGCATTAAAAAAAAGGGGTAAGTACAGTGTGAGAACTACCATAATCAGTTCTAAAAATCTTGCATCAGCAGGTAAGAAAATTAACAAAGCATAAGCACTTGTAATTTCCATGCACCAAACCCATCACTGATTTCACCGTCATACTAATAATGAACACTTTCTTTAAGTGCGTGAAACAATTCAAGAAAAAAAGCATCAGATTCCGTGTAAGCCAGAATAATCAACACACTTTCAATTAATACCATCTTTCTTCACACATTTAAATCAGGCATAACCATCTTCTTCTTCTTCCTTATTACAAGTGTTTTGTTACGTGCGTTACTTCAATCAACTGTCTATCATCAATGCTTAAACAGTCTAATTAATTATACTCATACCAATAATCTAATCAAAACAAAGAGCAGAAATAAGATAATTAGATAAACCATGAAGATTTGTTCACCAGAGAGGAAAACAAATGAAATGGTTGAAACTAAAAGCATGTACTTTGCATGAAAATGCATACATCAAGAGGATGACATACATACAACTTGCATGCATCAGAAAATTTTCCTTTTCCATCTCTCAGATTAAAAAAACAAGAAAAAAAAAAAAAGAGAGCGAGGGAGGAGAAATTTCTCTACCCGGTTTCGTTTTGTCTCGGGAGGAGCAAAACGAGGGAGAGCAAATGCGATCGTTCCACGTGTCCGATAGGACTCTCCCAGTGGTTTTCTAGCGTTAGATCACAAGTGCAAGAAACGGGCGAGTTGGGTGGGGTTCACCACGCCGGGGAGCTGGGTCCCACCACCCTTTAATAAACTCGCCACCTCGGCGTACCTTTCCCGCTCCTCCTCCGTCCGCTGGTACGGCGGCGGAGCCGCCGTGGGTTCTGCTTCGTCGCCGCCGTCCTCCGTCGACTTTCCTTTTGGTGGGGCCCAAGGCTGGCCCAGAAGGGTGCCCTTGGTGAGGAATTCGTGGGCCAGGTAGCCCGCTAAGAGTTGGTTAGAGGGCTTGGGCTGCGACAAGACGGCTTTGTTGGTGGCGATGATCGGGTCGACGGGCTTATCGGGCTTGAGTATTTTGGTGGTGGGTGGTGCGGGTATGGGCTTGGGCTTGTCAAACGGGTCATCTCTCTCTTTGCGCTTATTGGTAGGTGTCAATACACGACGAGGGGGAAGACGCATCGTTTTGGTATTCATGGCTCTCTATCCGCATGCCACGTCACTACCAAACCACCCTCAAAACAAAACTGACAAATAGTTTTGTTTTTCAAACAATAAAAAAAAACAACGGTAATTATTTATCTATGTTCGGGTGAAAAATGAGGGGTAAAAAGGTAAATTTGGAAAAGAGGGGTAAAAGGGTAAATTGATACAAAACTGATGGGGCACGCTATGGTGAAGACGATGTGATGGGAGAGAGAGACAGGGACGAGAGAAACTTGTGGCCGGAATCTGGCAATTATCAAGATTTAATAAAAACAAAATAAGAGATGAGGTAGAGAGAGAATAGAGAAGATGAAAGAAAAGGAAAAGAGAGAGAGCGAAAAAGAGAGAATGTAAGAGAAAAATGTGAGAAGAAGAGAATGCGCAGCGGGTCAGGGACCTCGTTATTTATAGCGCTTCTTCTCTCTAATTGCCCCTGTGAAGTTCAGCTAATTACTAAAATACCTTGGTTGACCTAAATTACTCAATTACCCTCCCGTTTTATAATTATCTTCCCAAAATGATGATGGAAAATTTTCCCCTTTTAAGCTTTTCTCATGGCGCCGAGGATTGGTTCAGATTGCATTTGCTTTCCCTTGCGGACGGCGATTCGTTGAACGGAAGGAGGGTGATTAATTGTTTTGTTTATTTTATTAATTTTTCTGGTAATTGATTAATTCTTGGAGTGGTTTGATTTATTGGTTGGGTCCGGGTCTCAAGAATGCGATTGCTATTCAATGGAATTGTATGAGACAGGAGAAGGTGAAGAGTTGCCTCATATGAAATTATTTTGTTTTGCTCACTCACTGATTGATTTTGCAGTCAGACCTACCGTTTTGGATTTCGAAGTTTTATTCACTTGAATGTTTAGATTGAAAATACATCATTACCACTGGTGATAAGGAAAAAATAAACCTCTCTGGCTGGTTGGATTTCACGCTACTCTGTGCAGAAGATGCATGCTGACTGACATATGAATAATATAGGGTCTGGAAAATGAATTCCCCCAAATATTGCTACAGACATGTAATCCAGAAGTTATTTACCTTGTTTGGTGAATCATATAATCTATCGTACTTGAATAACTCGTAGTTTTATTTTGGTGACTATCTTATAAACCCCTTCTTTTTGTTGATTAAATAGAACGTTGAAATGCAGATAGATCTGTATTTATTCTCAAACTTTGGTTCAAATAAATTTGGACAGATTGTGACTGATTTTCTGTTGTTAGTTTTATTTTTCAGATGAATAGTGAAACTTGTATACTATTCAAAGGTGGGATCTGGAACTGGTAGAACCTAGAGCATGGAACTCGAGAACTTGGCATCATGTTATCTCTTCTGCAGGTGATGACTGTAGAGTAACACTATCATGGCACGCACCATATTCTGCAAAATAGTAAACTGAATTACCGATGGTTACTTCTATTCTATCTTTTCTGCCCACTCGGAATTTAAGGAAATTAGTAATTGAGTTTTGGAGGCATTATCCTGTGTTTTAATCCCAGAGTTTGCCACTAGACTGTTGCTAAGTAATTTCATGAATAGACCTTGGATTTCAGGCAAAGGCTGGTGCATATGATTATTTCCCGTGGAGCTGCTAAAGTTAAAGTAGCAGAAAATTTGTTGACAATGCAAAGATTCATTTTAACTGGGTTTGCAGCACTAATTCGGACTATGTAGTTCAGATGCTGGAGAAATTTTGTTTTTATGCTGATCAAAGTCCGAAACTTTTATTCAGCCGGTATGATTTTTATATCTTACCCTGTTTCACTTTCCTGCACTGCTTTAGTATAAATTTATGTTTTTATTAGTCTTAGCATTATCATATTCATTCTAAAGTGATTTTTTTAGTTATAACCAATTTAAATATATACTTTAGTTGTGTTTAGCAATTTTACATTAAACAAATTAACATAAAGGTTATCTTATAACTCTAAAATAAGCAAGTCTATATTTGAATATAACTTTTAATCAACTATCTAAACTCATTTAAGTAAAATGCTATTCAGCACAAAACGTGTATCCATACATATTTCGTTCACCCATTGGAAACTAAATTTAATGAAAATTATAAAATAACACGAGAAACTTGTTGTAAAAATAGTTTTCTTTCTGGAAATAATCGGAATGCTTATTAAAACGCAAATTAACATGTTGAGGTTCCGACTCAGATTAAAAAATAGAGCTTTAAGTTTGAAGGATTAGCTGTATGAGAATTGACTTATCGTATATGATTTTGATAGTCAACATCTTTAACCAGGATTAGAATTTTGGTATTAGTGAATATTTAAAACTCAGATTGTGTATAGTGAGTTTGGATGTCAACTTCTTTATTTAGTATGTGGGCAATGCATATTAGGTTAAACTGTTAATAAAATACTGATTTAAGTTTATGTAAATGATGATAGAATCGCGTTGTTTAATCAAAGTGATTAGGATTTGATGCTTAATTTTTGAAAAGGGACTAAATACTCCTTCCTAATGCACAGAACAAATGTTAATAAGGTTATATTATCCCTTTGATGAATCCGCTTTTAGTATAATAATCATATCAAAGTTTAGATCTAATCCTTTATGCAAACTAGTCTCGAATATTACCATCAATAGTTCTAAGCCCAATCTTCATAAACGTGTAGAGTTCATATTGTATTCAAATGTTGTTGCTATTGAGGTTACTTTTTTTTAAGGCACTTCTAACCTTGAAAGATAAAGCTCGCTCAATCCAATGAAAAGCAAAAAATAAAGCTCTTTGTAAGATAAAAATAATATAAATTATATCACTAAATAAAATTTTACTTATTATATCACTAAAATTTATATGTAATATAAACTAACAATCATTACTTTTTTTTTATTCTCATAAAATCAAAACGATATAAAAAATAAGTATATATAATATAGTGTGTTACTAATCCTTCTTTTCATATAAAATGACAAATATATATATATATAATTTATTATGTAATGAAAAAAAATAAAGGTAATTAAATTATTTGAGTTTCTCTGAAAAAAATAATATAAAATCACTACTTATAATACTTTTTTAAAAATAAATTGTAAAATGTTGTTTATTTATAAAAATTAATAAATATATCACTTAATTGAATTATACACCAAAAATTTAATTATTTTAATTAAAAATATGTTTGAGTACCTTAAATTTGTTAAATTTTATCTAAATTATTTATATTAATGGTAAGAATGCAATGTAAAACAAAGTAGGTCTATATTTATGAAGAAATATTTAAAATGTATCAAGTCTTTACTAAAAAGAGTTTATTTCATATTTAAGTAATTGTATTTAGATAAACTACAAGGATGAATTTTGGATAGATTTGAAGGTGAAGTTATGTTATTCTTTTTAAGGATGGTGGGTGGATTTAGGAATAAAGTTTGTGAGAATTTGATTGATGTGATAGATTAAAGAAAGTTTTTATAAATAAAAAAGTAAGATTACAAAATTGTCTTTACGTTGAAAGTAATATAAAATGATATTTAGATAAATTAGAATTATTTTTATTTTTTTAATGAATAAAAGTTTTTAATACATAGCCTAGTTGTCTTTACGACCCAACTGTCTTCATACTTGGCCTATCTATATAGGCTGAACTATCTCCACAATCGAGTTGTCTCCACACTCAAACTCTCTCCATAGTCGCACTATCTCCACGTAAACATAAAGCAAATAAGTGACCTTCATCAAAGATCCAACAACTCTCCTAATCTCACACCACCTAAAAGTAGTAAAAATAACACACTCAAACAAAATTAGTTTTGTAAAACAACATATTTCACCTACAAATCTCCTCACATGAAGTGGGATGAAATGAAGGGTTGATCTCACTATTTCACGTTCGCACTCACCTGTAAATCGTTCTAAACGAACAAAGAAAATCTTCGTAAATTGATATCTCTTATTTCATTTGAATAATAAATCCACAAAAAAAATGATATAAATAAGGCCTTGTTATAGTTTATTTTTCATCTTCTATCTGTTTTGTACTTTGTCATATTTTAATATATGTATTTATGTAAACATATTTAATTTTTATAACAAACTTAAACTTTTAATTAATTAACTAATATTTTTAAGTAGATAAATTATTTTATTATGTCTCTAATTTACTGTGTTGGTGATCAAAAGAGATGAGTTAAAGTAGATAATCCCTTTTTATTATTCTACAATCACACTCAACATTATGTTAAAATACAATTATAATTATAATTTTCTGATTAAATATATTATTTTCAAACCAAGTTAGAAAAATGTCTTTTCTCCAAAATTTACTTTGAAAAAGTAGTTAAAACATACCAAGTCACAATATGAAAAGTTATTTTTATATCCTTAAAATGCTACTAGTATTATGTTAATTTTTGTTTTATTTTGGAAATTCTTTTTATAGTAAAGTGAGGCAGTGGCTAAGGTCATGGACTTAGATATTTTATTTTGACCGGCACACATATATCACGTGACCAAATTCAAAATTCAATAAGAAATTCTCTTACTTTCTTTTTTATTTTAAAAATTCTCTAAGTAATTACTAAATCTAATGTGAATTATGAAAAAGAAAATAGCTACTAATTAATTGCGCCAAAGTTTGATTTTTATTTGGAATAATAAACTCTTTTTTTCAGTTAGTTAGAGTGAAATTAATTTTAAGTTTTAATTGACTTAATTTTAAAATATAATTGTTTAAATTTTTGATAGATTCAACCTCAATTATCTAATTGACTTAACCTTTTGGTATACTAAAGAATGGTTTTCTTTAAACTTTTGTTATGTATATATTTCTTTTAAGTTTTTGGTAGTTTTGGTATATTTTAATTTTTTAATTAAAATCCCAACACATACCACAAATCAATGTATTTTCATATTGAATCTTGAACTTATGTTGCTTAAACATGTACATAAGGTTAATTAAAAAACTGTCGTATGTGTAAAATTAAATTAATAATATATAAAATTGTTACCGATAATCAATCTAAATTAAATTTGATAAGTTTTAATATATAAGAATGAATACGGATTAAATTATACATCTAATAGGTATATTTTTCAAGATAAAAAGAATTACATTGTGAATTAATATAACAATAGGCTTGATATAACTTTTTATTATAGTTATAATTGAAATTAACATATTTATCATTATTATTTATTAGAGTCTATGGTTGTATTTATATTGATGTTTATCAACTCTCTATTTTTTATTTATTTATGAAAATGCATTTTGATGGTGTTAATTCGTGTTTTGTTTTTGAAGATTGATATTATATTTTAATGATGGCATCTAACATCTAATCAATTGAAAGTAAGTGGTGAGCATTATGGTATATTTTGAACTTTGTTCCATTTTTACAATGTAGCATTTTTAGGTAT